CAAAATAGGCTCATTTTGCCAACTCGACCTGCCAAAATTGGTGGGTTAACAAGTTGGCTGATTGGTTGAGCATGTTGGCCTGATTTTAATAGAAGCCAATTCCACAACTTTGATAGAAATGGAATTAAATGATTGAAATTTTTTTCAATTTTATTATATCAAACAAACATTTTCTCCAATTCCATTTCCATCATTATACCTTCCATTTCTATCATACCAAAGGTGCTAGCTCTATAAGTTTCAAAGTTTCTTTATCAATGGTTAATGGTCCCTCCTCTTGGATAATCTATCAAGGACAAAGGGTTCGGTTTTGGATCAAGTGATGAGCACTTGAACCATCCAGATTAAAGATATGGATGGTCCATATTTAAAGATTTTTATATATTTATTAAAATAAAAATTTAAATAATTATATTATATCACCAATTTGGATAATACATATTTAATCTTGATAGTCCAATTTAATATTAAAAAATTTTAAAATTTTTATAAATTAACTGTCTAGAGTATCTAGTTGTACTGTGGATAGTCTAGATTTAAAATTATTAAATCCCATCTTTTTCTAAAGTGCTAGTTTGAAGACTTTTTATTTTTATTTTTTAATATCATATTTACTAGAATGCAAATTTATAAAATTCTAAAAAATTTAATATTAAATCTATACTATTCAGAATACATTTGAATAGTCAATTTATAAAAAAAAATTAATATTGAATTGAACTATCTAAATTAAACATATATTGTCTAGATTAATGATGAGGTAAATTTACTGAAACTTTACATTTTTTATTTTAATAAATGTTAAATAAATGTATAAAATAAAATTTATAAATCTAGGTGGTCTAGATGCTAATCACTTGATGAGCAGGTGATGACATCGAAACCAAACGCTAAAGACAAGAACTGTTGACCTCCCTTTAAAAATTATTGAAATTTGTTTTATAAAAGTTGATAAAATTTACTTGATCCCCATATTTTATATTATTTAAAATTTTACCCCATTCATTTTTTTATAAGGTACCCCAATGCTTCACTCTGAATTTGTCCCAGTAATCCATGCTTATCAATTATCGAATGAACTCCAAGTCTAACCACTTGGTGGAAGGGACGGGTCTAAAAACTCATCCATAAGGTCAAAATGAAAACCAATATAAAATTTGGTGGGGTGGGGTGGGGTGGGGTGGGGTGGGGTGGGGAATTAATTTTAACATTTCTTTGTAAAAAAAAATAACACTTAAATGAAATTTTGGAGGCACCTAGAGGTGATAATCAGTTATGAATCTAGGATTATTTTATGAGAGGTCCAAATTTTCTCCTTCTTCTACCAATGGGGGATGATTGCCTGCAAAATTTTTGTAAACAATTTGTAAAGCATGCCTTCAAACATTTAGAAGGAGATAAATATTTGTGGTGCTAGTGGTAGTTCAAGAAGGCTGGACTTATTTGTGCTACAGTTAATGAGGCTTTTTGCTTTAGCCAACAAGCCATAACAGCATCCAATTCCCAACTTTCGGAGCATCCAACTTTCAACTTGATTGTTGGAATATTTTCAAAATAAAGAGATGTTTTTGAAAAATCATGTCCTTTTGAAAATTCATGTTCTTATAAATTAAGTAGTTATGTCCTTATAAATTAAGGAATTTTTATAAAAAGTTATGTAAAGAGTTATAGTCATCAAAATTATGTCTCTCTAAATTCTGAAGGTATATTTAGAGGGTTATAAAACTAAAGGTGTCACTTGGTGAAAGAAAATGTATTTTAAGAAAACTCTATATACTAAAAGGATGTTTCTTTTCATGAAAAGTTGTTATAAATAACCCTTGGTTAATATTAATTATTAAACTATATAGGTTCATGAATCAACATAAGAATGTTCATGAATTAACAAAAGATTGTTTATGAATAACATAAGGGTTATGAACCAATATTAGTTATAACTTTTAAGGAGAGTTTTATTACTTAAAATGTACCACTTCAAGGTATCACTTCAGTATCTATAAATATCCCTCACCATCACTCATTTTGAAGATCCATTGATTGAAACTTATTGCCTATATTTTTTGAATACACTAGAAATAAAATCAAATTATCACTTTGTAAAACCATTGTTGTCTTGTGTTGAGTCTTGGTAGTGCAAATCATACTCAAGGCTCTTCATTGTATCTTGAAAGAAATTTGCCATCAACCTAACTTGCACCTAAAGATTGGAATAGGTAAGGGCGAATTAAGTCTAAAGGAAAGTGTTGTGCACACCTTGAAGATGACATGTACAACTTTCTTCTTTGTCTCTACTTCTTTTGTTCTTTAAAGAGCCGTACCTACCAACAATCTTTAGGCTTAAATTTGTATACTACAATGGCTTCTTTAAAGGAGTTTACAACAAACATTGTGAAATTAGAAAGATTTAAAGGAGGCAAATTTTGGATATGGCAAAAGAAGATGAAATTTCTTTTCATAATTTTAAAAGTAGTTTATGTCCTCACCACTCTTAAGCCCTAAGAAGGAGGAGAAACTCCAGCCCAAATCAAAGATAGGCAAAAGTGGGAGAATGATAACTATATTTACATTGGACACATCCTTAATGGACTTGATGATTCTCCCTGATATTTTTTAATATTCAACCTCTGCAAAGAGACTTTAGGACAAACTAGAGGAAAGGTACATGCAACAAGATGCAACAAGTAAGAAATTTCTTGTTGCTCATTTTAATAATTATAGAATGGTTTATGGAAGATATGTTAAAGAACAAATGCATGAAATTCAGCATATCTTGAATAATTTTCAAATAACAAAAAATGCACATGGATGAACGTATCATTGTCTCCTCAATTATAGGCACTTCCTTCTTCGTGGAAAGATTCAAAAAGAATCATAAGTATAAAAAGGAAGATATCTTTCTTAAGCAACTGAGGAACCATATTTGTTTAGAAGATGAATATAGAAAGCAGGATGATGTAAAAGACACCAATGGTGGAGGAAGCGCAATCCCACAAAACCTCATAAAATAGGGAAAGATAAAGACAAATCCCAAGCACAAGATGACCACAAGAAAAGAAAATAATTCATTTCTTTTATGAAAAGGCTAATCATTATAAGAAAGATTGTCATTTCTTCAAAAAGAAGAAAGATAAAAAGAATAGTTCATCTTTAAAAGAAGATAATCTTATGGCTATAATATCTAAGATCTACTTGGTTGATAATGATGAATCATGGTAGGTGGATTCAGGTGCAACTCATCATGTAGGTTTCTAAAAATCAAACTCACACCAGCGCGCATGCAGTATACTACTAAAGGAATAATATGTGGCTCCCATGTCATATATGATTCCGTTAATATTGTGTTAACTCTTTTTCTTATATAAATATTGTTTGACTTTACTTAAAAAAAAAAACCTTCCAATTAAAATGCAAGAGTAGCTTCGAGGTAAAACGTTGTTTGGGATATATAGTTTCAGACTACTTTTTTTCTATATATAGGTTTACTGGACTTGGGGCTGATGTGTCTAAATGCATAACTATAATATCATTATCAGTTTATCACTCGAGTGAAACCCAGCCTATTTTTAACAAACAAGGAAGTTGTACCAACTTAATCAAATATCTTTAGTTTGAGTCTTGGAAATGCAACAGTATTTTGTGGTAGAGCTTTTGCTCAAAAAGGTCCTAACCTGACTTAATCCAAATCAGTCAAAGCACGCTGTTGGCTTTGTACACCGATGGCTTATTACCAAAAAAATAGTCAAAACCTAGATTGGCCACCAAACTAGTCGAAATAGTAATTCAAAGGTCAACAATCTAAATCATGGTTGGATTGAGATCAATCTAGTCATGATCAACTCAAAATTATATCATTTTAGACTTAACAAGGAGGGAAAAATATAAATAAAATTTAATAAGTTGACTCATCTAAAATTTTAGACCAAATCAGGGGACTAGTTTATTGGTTCATTAGTGACTAGTATGACTAGCCAACTCGGCCAAGTTAGGTTTTAATATCATGTTTCATACTTCCAACAATAGATTTTGAAAAGAAAAAAATGAATGGTGATGCCATAAATAGGTAGGTATCCTTTTGCTTTCTTCATATGAGAAAGATCAAGAACGAGGGGGGAGAATCAATCTTTTGCTTTTAGAGATTAAAAAAGAAAAGAAAAGAAAAATAATGCATATATTTTTGGTTCCTCCTTTTGATTATTCCTTATTATATAATAAGGTAAGACAGGTCTTTTTTTTGTTAAACCAATAAGATTTTTTTTTTTGTAAAATATGTCGTAATAAGCTAGTCCTCCTCTTATTCTCTTATGAGAACACAAGTGCGAGCAGGTGACTCCAACAAGATCACGATAAAAGAAGACAAATTGTGTCCTCTTGCTTTCTCCATATGACAGAATGGAGTGATTGATTTTTTGATTTTGTTTTCTAGATTCCCATAATGTCATAAATACCTAGTCCTCCTTTTGATTCCTTCTCTCATGAGCCCAAAGAGAATTTTGGGCAAAAAAATGAGAACAATACTGCAAATAGATAATATAATTACTTTCATTTCCTTCTGTTAGACACGACAGATGAAGATTCTTTTTATTTTAGACATCTAATGAGAAATTCTTTAAAAAGACAAAAGGGAAAAGAAAAAGAAAAAGAAAGACAACGGACTTGTGTAAATTGCTGTTAGTCCTCCTTTTGTTTCCTTCTTAATTATGCTACGCAATACACGTATGGGGTTTCTTCACCACTTTAGCTTTTTACATTCACATATTCTGTTTGTTGGTTCTTGATCGTTCTTCTATATATATAATCTCCATCTTCAATCTTCTTGCAGAAAAGTGAAGACCGATGATGTTATAGGAAAGTATTGTGTACATCTTTGAGTAGAAACAAAGAAAAGGGACGATTCCATATGCCTTACTACCTCTCAGAAGCCAAATAAACTTAAGATCAGTTTATGTGTGTGTTTCATTGCATTCCCAAACCTGGTAATTGTACATCGTTGCATGTTAGAGATGTCGATCCAATCAAATCCATCAAAAGCCTTGCCTGCATTGCTGAAGAGGGTCAAAAAGATCGTCAATGACAATGGAAATGTTTTATCAGACAAAGATATCGCCCTGCATATTATTAATGGAGACATCGTCGACCAGTTGATATGTCAACACGAGAGGGTCAAGATATCGCAAGAGAAGGTGCTCGAGCGTTTCTCAGACTTAGATCGCCATCATCGTAAGATTCTTGACCTTGGTCATCATGGCAATGTTAAAGCCGATGATCTTAATTCTATCCATGTCAAGCTCACTCAGATAACTGAGTCACTCAACCAGTTAGCTCTCAAGCAGCTGGAGAATACAAAACAGTCCGAGCCAAACGTAGGCGAGTCAAGAATATCGCAGGATGAGGAGCACTACTCCCTAGAATTATCTCCACTGGGAAAGGAGATTGTGAAAGATGATGACAATCCAATCATGAAAAGTCTTCGGGTGAGTTATGACTTTCTCGGCGATGAATTTAACCTAAAAATTTGCTTATTGCTTCTTGCAATTTTCCCTGAAAATGTTGTCCTCAAGAAAAGGCTTCTCATTTATTGGTGGATCGGAGAAAGGCTAGTTAGAGATGAGAAAGAAGGCGAAAAGATATTTGATGAGCTTCTGCAACACGAGTTAATCATACCCTATCGTACTGGCAAGTGCCCAATAGTGAATAAATGTCAAGTTCACCCTTGGATCCGTTACATGCTGATCTCAATAGCCACCAAAAGGGAGGAGAAGATTTTGCACTTAGATGATGGCAAGGTACCATGTTTTGATCCTAAAAATGCCCGGCGTGCTTGTTTGATTGCTCATCAAAAATTGGATCCTCAAATTTTGAATCATTAAGGGCTATCTTTAATGTAAACAAGAGCTATCTCAATTGGGAAGACGATTGGCTTTCTAAGTTGAAGAGTTTGTGGGTTCTGCAACTAGGTCGTTGGCAGGCTTCTCCTAAGCATCACATCGAAGTCAAAGGTGATTCGTTGCTAAAAGGTTTGGGAGTTCAAAGGGAACTCAAGTATCTCAGCCTTCGTGGGATCTCAAGAATCACAGAACTTCCAGCCTCTATAGCTGAACTGACCAGACTTGAAATTTTGGACCTCAAAGCCTGTCATAATCTGGAAACTCTACCAAAAGAGATCGCATCATTGACAAAGCTCACACACCTGGACGTATCAGAATGCTACTTGATGGAAAGCTTGCCAAAGGAGCTGGCCAATCTCACTTCTCTCCAAGTGCTCAAGGGATTTATAATAGGTAACTCAGGGAGGACTTTAGAGCATCTTTGGGAATTGGACAAACTTGAGAGACTAAGTATACATATAGGGAGTGAAGCTGTTCTTAAGGGAGACGAATTTGATGGGTTGAAGGAATTTAAAAAACTCAGGTGTCTCAAAATATCTTGGGGTACATTGAGAATGAATGTTGAAGGAGTCTCTTTTCCGCCATTACTAGAGAAGTTGGATCTTGAAGGCTTTCCTGAAAGAAAGATGCCAGAATGGTTACAACCTAGCAAATTGGGGCGATTGAAAAAGTTCTACATAAATGGAGGAAATCTCTGTGAAATACCAAACACGTGGTATAATGTGGAGATTTTGATCATCAAGCATACCGAGCTAAAGATTGACCAAAAACTAGTTCACCAACGTTTTCCTTCACTCCAATACGTCAAATTTCATGGGAAAAAGAAAGATGGGACACCTAAAGGCGAAGAATCTCCTGATTTTGAGTGGTTGCGTGAGTGATGATGAAGAGCATGCCACAGGCATTGCCATTCGTGCACAATAAGGTCTTCCTAGCCAAGGTTGATGAGACATGTGTTTTAGGAAAAGTTAGTGAGAAATCTCACAAGGATTTCAATTCTCTTAAAATTCCATAAAATGTACAAAATACTGTCAAATTTCAAACCCTGTGCAATAAAATCTTGACAAAAAAAAAATAACAACTTGGCAAAAAAAATGACAATTAGGTACTAAACTCATAGTGTTATTTTCTTTTGCCAAATTATAATTGCACATAATTTGGGGCTTGGGAGTATTTTTTACATTTGATGGGATCTCTTGATAATTAAAATCCTTATAAGGGATCTTGGTGTGATTTTTCCTTTATTTTATTATTTGATTGATGATACTGTCTTTTATTTATTTATTTATTTTTGCTTTTGGCCTTGTTCACATTGCTATTTTCTTTTTAGTTTTTGTGGTTGTATTAATTGAAATTAATCTTGTTTGATATTTTTCTGTTGAATGAAATTTGATGAATTGGCCGCCTAATGAGTTATTTAAAAAAATTACAACCTTTTTAAGATTAATATAAAAATATTTGGCGTTGAAATTAATCCAGATGGTCTCAATTTTGTTTAAATTATATAAATTTTAATATTTAAAAAGTATTTATGCCTATTCTGTTTTGTGGATTAGTAAATAGCTGATTCACACAAGTTTCTTGTGAATTAAAAAAAAAACATATGTCTTCTATACTTTTTTTAATTCTTTTTATAAGTCACTTTTAACTAACTCATCAAAACTAAGATGTGTTAGTTAGAATAATAAAATTATTTTAAAAATAAATCACTCTCTAATTTTGCCTCTAAATTTAAAAAAAGAATTATTTGAAATGTAGAAACAATTTTCTTGAAAATTGAAATAGTGCACTTTTTTTTTAGAATTTGCTGGAGGATAATTTTGAAATTGTACATTAAATGTTAAAACAAAAGCAAAATGACTTATATAAATGACCAGAAAAACCTTCTAAAATGTGACTAATAAAAGAGACCAGAGGGAGTATTTAATAATAGCATACATAAAATTCTTATTAATTTCCATAATAAATATAAAAATATTTTGACACATGATTTTTGTGCAATTTTAATAAATTCTAAAAGAATGTGCGTATTTTTCTTTTTCATTCTTTTTCACCAATGTAAGTTAGCGTAAGCTTAGAGAAAAAAGCTCACGCTAGCTTTAGAAAATGAGGGGCTGGGTGGGCTAGTTAGGTTTGGGTAAAAGGTATAGTTTAAGGGAGAATTTAATAAAGACCTCTTCACTATACTTATTTAAATTTAAAACTCTAAAATTTTTAAAATTTCACTATAATCTAAGAGTACTGATTTGATATTAAATTTCTAAATAAAATGATAAAATTATCTTTTATTTAAATTAATATTAGAAATATCCTACTTCACTTATTCATTTATTTATAAAATGTTATTAATTGTCCTATTTTACTTGGTCATTTCTTGGAATGAAATCAAGTAAAAATCTAGCAATTAATAAGTAAAGTTAGGCAATGAATGATAGTTCGTAAGTAAATGAATAACGTACAGTGTAGGAATCAATAAGTTATTTTAAGATAATTTAAAAACTTAAAATAAAAACAAGTTAAGTACGACAATCAACAATATTCTGTAAGTAAATTAAAAAGTAAAATAGGAAAGTTCTGATATTAATTGAAATGAGAGGCAATTTTGTCATCTCCCTCATAAATTTAATATCAAACCAGTGTCCCTGGACTAAAGTGTAATTTCATAAATTTAAGAGCTTTAAATTTAAATAAGTGTGGTCAAGAGGTTTTTATTGAAATTCTCCCATAGTTAAACCCTTATATTTAGGGGTGAACAAGACCAATCGAAATCGAAGATAAAATCAAATTAAATTTGGTCTATTTAGTTATACGGTTTGATTTTGTTTTGTTTTAATTAAAATTTTAATTGATCAGTTCGATTCAATTAGAGAATTATTGAACCAAATAAATTGAGCCAACAGAATTATATATATTTTTCTTTTCATCTAGATAAGTAAAAAACATCTTTCTACTACTTGCAGTAATAGTAATTTTTTGTTTAATGTGATATTCTATTTTTTATTTCTATAATTTAATTTTTAATACAAAAGTATTAGGTTTTATTAATTTTCTCATGAGTTAAAGTATAAGATTGCTATTTTTTTATTAGGCCTTCAATATCGAGAAAAAAATGGATAGAAGAATATATGCACAATTAGGCTCCATGAACCCAAATCAAAGCCTATGAATAGAATAAATTGATCTAATCGAACCATTATAATTCGGTTTGATCAAGTATTTCGATTTGATCCAAACTTTTTGTGTAATTTGGTTAATCAGTTTTGAAAAAATTGGAATCGAATTGACTGAACCGAATGAATGCTCACCCCTACTCATATTGTATTAAAAAAAATGGAAAAGATATTGACATAACATCAAACAATTAAAAATAGCATAATTTATTTATATTTTAAAAAATTATTTAAATTAAAAATCATCGAGGCAAAATATAAATCTATAGCATGTCATACATTTACAAACTATGAACAAGTGAATTCAATCTCATCATTAATAAAATTTCATATAATACAGAGAAAAACCTATCTAATTAATAAATATCTATATCATGTATCATAGTTTAATTTTTTGTTTGGCACAGTAACTTTATTCACACATACGCAATCACTTTTTTTATGTACAATTTTGTGTGCTTGAGATTCCAACTATTACTCATGGGTTTGAATGAAAATGTTCAAAACTAGAAGAAAAAATCAATAAAACTGTATGCATGTATGTTGCAAGACTTGATATTATATATTAAAACTACATTCCCCATGGATTGATCTACACCTATAAAAACTAAATTTCCAAACAATAGTCTAAATACCATCAAATTAACACCTTGAATATCTTGTTCAAAGTCTCAATCAAACTTTAGTTTTTCACTGATTTTACAAATTGTTCTCACTTTTTTTTACTAAATGAAGTAAGGAACATTTGAGAATTTGAACTAAGAATTAAGGATGTGATTTAATTATTAGTGGGTCATAAAAAACTAAAAATTCAGTTGAGTTTAGGAGAACCAAAGTGAAAATAATTTTAATAGTGAAAAGATCAAAGTATCATTTACTTGTTAATTTTTTCTGAGATGTAAAATAATTAATTGTTAATTTTTTTATTTTATTTATTAATTTACCAATATGAGTTGTAAATTACTTTAGTTTGTCAGACAAGCAGTAATTTATTAACATTAGTTGTAAATTGTAAAGTATTAGAGTAATTTATAATTTATATTAATAAATTAATAAGTAAAGTTAACAAATTAATAATTAATGTTATTGCTTGTGATTGAATAACTGATATATATTTAAGTCTTATATAATTATTAATAAGTTAAGTTATGCAATTTACAACTCATATTAGTAAGTTAATAAGTGAAATAAAAAAATTAATAATTAATTATAATTTTATATCTCGAACAGAATTAAAAATAAGTAAATGGTACTTTAATTTTTTTAAATTGAATTGAAATTTTAGATTTTTTATTGGCCCTTAGTTAAAATTCTCCCTTTCTGATGCATCCACGTGGCCGGGTGAGAGCAACGCCAATGGTGCAGTGCCTGAGGTCAAGAATTTCAAGGCACATATGCAGGCCAGTTTAACAATGAGGGAGGAATATTAGTAGTACATTCTCAATCCAATGGCGGGGATTATTCAACATTTCTTACGTCTCGTGTATGAAAAGGAATCAAAAGGATGACTTGCCCATTCACAGTAGCTTTATTCTTTTTACGAGTTATGAGGAATCAAACGAAGGATGGGCTATTGATTATGACACATCTGTGTTTCTCTTCATGATCAGTTTCAGACAAAGGAGGGGAGAGAGAGAGAGAGAGGGAGGGAGGGAGGTGGGAGCGGGATTCTATTGTGGGCTCCGTGTGTGTTAAGTAGAGTCCATTGCGTCCGCATTGTGATGAGCACGAGAGAGCGTGGTCAAATCCTAATCTTTCATTTCACTTTCAAATGATCTCCATCATTTAAATTAATTTTTTAATATTATATTTATTAATATAAAAGTTATAAAAAATTTTGATATTAAATCTACAGTGTCTTCCATACTCACCCAAAAATGAACACCATGGTGCTCATAATCCCTTACAAGATCTAAATTATCCAAATTTAAAATTTTTATTTTTAATTACATTTATCAAAATAAAAATTTTAAAAAATTTACAATTTTTTAATGGGTTAAAGTTCAATTTGTCCCCTGTACTTACTTTTTAAGAACGTTGTACACCATATACTTTTTAGTGAGATAATTTTACCCTTAAATTATTTTTTCGAAGAGCAAAAAGCCTCTTTTATTAGTAAATCATTAATTTCTTTTTCTTTTTATGCTGACACGACATGTGCTTGGAGCCCATACATAGTAACATATAAGACTTTAACCATATTTTTATTTGTCCCTAAACTCTTTTTTTATGAGCGTTGAGCACCTTAAAATCTTTTTTAAGAGCGCTAGACACTATGAAATCTTATTAAAATAAAATTTAATAAATATTATTAAAATATTTATTATTTTAATATTTAATAATTTAAATATTATTATTGAAAACATTACACCACCCAATTTAATATTTTAATATTTTAGAATTTTGTATTAAAAATGAAGGAAATGAATCTCTAAATTAACGAAGGGATTTTTCCTTCTCATCTCTCTATTTTTCTCCTGGTGAGTAACTTTTTCATTGCACATTAATAGAATAAGCGATATCTTTTGAATAAATATTTTTGTTGGCATATTGTTGGTCTTGATTTGTCATGTCTTTTATTTTACTCCTAACACCAACTGTTATAACATCCTGAGTTTTTAACTTAGAAATTTTAAGTGTTTAAGAAGGGTAAATTAGTCAAAATAAGATATTTATGGGTTAATGATATTTTTAGATTATTAATATGGTTT